TGATATCATGATGCATTCACCGATACCATCGAGCAGAGATTGCAGAAAGTCAAAATCCCAGAGATGGTAGGGGAGGTGGAATAGTCGGATCCATACTGGAAAAGGTTGGGGAACCGTTGAAAGTCTGAGATCCTCCTTCCATCGGCGGAATCTGCCCGTAAAGGTGCTCCCATCTACCAGGCCGAGCTCTATGGCTTGGGTAAGAAGGGCGACGGATGGAAACTGCACCATGAAGCTCTTTCCTGGCGCTTCTTTGATTTGATAGGGCCATGAACTACGATTGAAGTGAAAAGCCAGAATCTCTCTGAGCTCCTGGACGGATGGATGGCCAGACCTAAGATTGAAGATTGCGAACGCGGAGAGATGTAGGATGGTGCTGGCGGTGTTGGTAGGGACGGTAAGCATCCTTGGAGGGGCACGAGAAGTAATACCGTGATAACAATCTCGAGAGGTATGCCCTGACCCATGGCAGTGTGTACAGGTGCCATCCATAGCCATCTGTGATGGTTTATGACAGAGATTGAAGACGCTGGACTTAGGTATTCGTTTGGGGATGAGGGATTTAGAGAGGCGCCTGTTCTGGTGTAAAAGGACAAAGCTCGAATATCGAGGGAAATACTATTTTAACACCCTTTCCTGAACTGGAAAGACTCGGATATTATGATGTGATCTGTTGGGGTGATAGACATGTCTTGGAAAGCAGCGAACATATTAATGATGTAACATCTAGAACTAACACTTACTCAAATAGAGCGCTAGCGAAATTAGAACTGACTGTAAGTAAACTAGAACTAACATTGAATCAATTAGAACTAACGTAGCATCTATAACCAGCATGGGCGATAGAAATAGCGCGGGCTGCGGTTAGAACTAACACTTTAAATCTAGGACTGCCTGCATATAAATGCCTACTAACATTATGACAATTAGAACTAACGTTGTAAGTATTTTCATGTTGAATATTTCCTTTTTTACTTTCAACTTGAGCAAATACTGATTGAATAATATGTTTCTTATGAACTCAGAAAACTTTACTTCGTTATCCTCCTTCGTATTTCAAGTAGAACCAGCTTTTTTGCTTGAGTTTCAATTAGAACTATCACCAAAACAACTAGATCTAACACGAGATGGAGTAGAACTAACACGATACGGTTCGTAACTGACTGTATATAAGTTAGTTCTAAGTCGTGCTGGCGAACATTATGACAATTAGAACTAACGTTGTAAGTATTTTCATGTTGAATATTTCCTTTTTTACTTTCAACTTGAGCAAATACTGATTGAATAATATGTTTCTTATGAACTCAGAAAACTTTACTTCGTTATCCTCCTTCGTATTTCAAGTAGAACCAGCTTTTTTGCTTGAGTTTCAATTAGAACTATCACCAAAACAACTAGATCTAACACGAGATGGAGTAGAACTAACACGATACGGTTCGTAACTGACTGTATATAAGTTAGTTCTAAGTCGTGCTGGCGAACATTATGACAATTAGAACTAACGTTGTAAGTATTTTCATGTTGAATATTTCCTTTTTTACTTTCAACTTGAGCAAATACTGATTGAATAATATGTTTCTTATGAACTCAGAAAACTTTACTTCGTTATCCTCCTTCGTATTTCAAGTAGAACCAGCTTTTTTGCTTGAGTTTCAATTAGAACTATCACCAAAACAACTAGATCTAACACGAGATGGAGTAGAACTAACACGATACGGTTCGTAACTGACTGTATATAAGTTAGTTCTAAGTCGTGCTGGCGAACATTATGACAATTAGAACTAACGTTGTAAGTATTTTCATGTTGAATATTTCCTTTTTTACTTTCAACTTGAGCAAATACTGATTGAATAATATGTTTCTTATGAACTCAGAAAACTTTACTTCGTTATCCTCCTTCGTATTTCAAGTAGAACCAGCTTTTTTGCTTGAGTTTCAATTAGAACTATCACCAAAACAACTAGATCTAACACGAGATGGAGTAGAACTAACACGATACGGTTCGTAACTGACTGTATATAAGTTAGTTCTAAGTCGTGCTGGCGAACATTATGACAATTAGAACTAACGTTGTAAGTATTTTCATGTTGAATATTTCCTTTTTTACTTTCAACTTGAGCAAATACTGATTGAATAATATGTTTCTTATGAACTCAGAAAACTTTACTTCGTTATCCTCCTTCGTATTTCAAGTAGAACCAGCTTTTTTGCTTGAGTTTCAATTAGAACTATCACCAAAACAACTAGATCTAACACGAGATGGAGTAGAACTAACACGATACGGTTCGTAACTGACTGTATATAAGTTAGTTCTAAGTCGTGCTGGCGAACATTATGACAATTAGAACTAACGTTGTAAGTATTTTCATGTTGAATATTTCCTTTTTTACTTTCAACTTGAGCAAATACTGATTGAATAATATGTTTCTTATGAACTCAGAAAACTTTACTTCGTTATCCTCCTTCGTATTTCAAGTAGAACCAGCTTTTTTGCTTGAGTTTCAATTAGAACTATCACCAAAACAACTAGATCTAACACGAGATGGAGTAGAACTAACACGATACGGTTCGTAACTGACTGTATATAAGTTAGTTCTAAGTCGTGCTGGCGAACATTATGACAATTAGAACTAACGTTGTAAGTATTTTCATGTTGAATATTTCCTTTTTTACTTTCAACTTGAGCAAATACTGATTGAATAATATGTTTCTTATGAACTCAGAAAACTTTACTTCGTTATCCTCCTTCGTATTTCAAGTAGAACCAGCTTTTTTGCTTGAGTTTCAATTAGAACTATCACCAAAACAACTAGATCTAACACGAGATGGAGTAGAACTAACACGATACGGTTCGTAACTGACTGTATATAAGTTAGTTCTAAGTCGTGCTGGCGAACATTATGACAATTAGAACTAACGTTGTAAGTATTTTCATGTTGAATATTTCCTTTTTTACTTTCAACTTGAGCAAATACTGATTGAATAATATGTTTCTTATGAACTCAGAAAACTTTACTTCGTTATCCTCCTTCGTATTTCAAGTAGAACCAGCTTTTTTGCTTGAGTTTCAATTAGAACTATCACCAAAACAACTAGATCTAACACGAGATGGAGTAGAACTAACACGATACGGTTCGTAACTGACTGTATATAAGTTAGTTCTAAGTCGTGCTGGCGAACATTATGACAATTAGAACTAACGTTGTAAGTATTTTCATGTTGAATATTTCCTTTTTTACTTTCAACTTGAGCAAATACTGATTGAATAATATGTTTCTTATGAACTCAGAAAACTTTACTTCGTTATCCTCCTTCGTATTTCAAGTAGAACCAGCTTTTTTGCTTGAGTTTCAATTAGAACTATCACCAAAACAACTAGATCTAACACGAGATGGAGTAGAACTAACACGATACGGTTCGTAACTGACTGTATATAAGTTAGTTCTAAGTCGTGCTGGCGAACATTATGACAATTAGAACTAACGTTGTAAGTATTTTCATGTTGAATATTTCCTTTTTTACTTTCAACTTGAGCAAATACTGATTGAATAATATGTTTCTTATGAACTCAGAAAACTTTACTTCGTTATCCTCCTTCGTATTTCAAGTAGAACCAGCTTTTTTGCTTGAGTTTCAATTAGAACTATCACCAAAACAACTAGATCTAACACGAGATGGAGTAGAACTAACACGATACGGTTCGTAACTGACTGTATATAAGTTAGTTCTAAGTCGTGCTGGCGAACATTATGACAATTAGAACTAACGTTGTAAGTATTTTCATGTTGAATATTTCCTTTTTTACTTTCAACTTGAGCAAATACTGATTGAATAATATGTTTCTTATGAACTCAGAAAACTTTACTTCGTTATCCTCCTTCGTATTTCAAGTAGAACCAGCTTTTTTGCTTGAGTTTCAATTAGAACTATCACCAAAACAACTAGATCTAACACGAGATGGAGTAGAACTAACACGATACGGTTCGTAACTGACTGTATATAAGTTAGTTCTAAGTCGTGCTGGCGAACATTATGACAATTAGAACTAACGTTGTAAGTATTTTCATGTTGAATATTTCCTTTTTTACTTTCAACTTGAGCAAATACTGATTGAATAATATGTTTCTTATGAACTCAGAAAACTTTACTTCGTTATCCTCCTTCGTATTTCAAGTAGAACCAGCTTTTTTGCTTGAGTTTCAATTAGAACTATCACCAAAACAACTAGATCTAACACGAGATGGAGTAGAACTAACACGATACGGTTCGTAACTGACTGTATATAAGTTAGTTCTAAGTCGTGCTGGCGAACATTATGACAATTAGAACTAACGTTGTAAGTATTTTCATGTTGAATATTTCCTTTTTTACTTTCAACTTGAGCAAATACTGATTGAATAATATGTTTCTTATGAACTCAGAAAACTTTACTTCGTTATCCTCCTTCGTATTTCAAGTAGAACCAGCTTTTTTGCTTGAGTTTCAATTAGAACTATCACCAAAACAACTAGATCTAACACGAGATGGAGTAGAACTAACACGATACGGTTCGTAACTGACTGTATATAAGTTAGTTCTAAGTCGTGCTGGCGAACATTATGACAATTAGAACTAACGTTGTAAGTATTTTCATGTTGAATATTTCCTTTTTTACTTTCAACTTGAGCAAATACTGATTGAATAATATGTTTCTTATGAACTCAGAAAACTTTACTTCGTTATCCTCCTTCGTATTTCAAGTAGAACCAGCTTTTTTGCTTGAGTTTCAATTAGAACTATCACCAAAACAACTAGATCTAACACGAGATGGAGTAGAACTAACACGATACGGTTCGTAACTGACTGTATATAAGTTAGTTCTAAGTCGTGCTGGCGAACATTATGACAATTAGAACTAACGTTGTAAGTATTTTCATGTTGAATATTTCCTTTTTTACTTTCAACTTGAGCAAATACTGATTGAATAATATGTTTCTTATGAACTCAGAAAACTTTACTTCGTTATCCTCCTTCGTATTTCAAGTAGAACCAGCTTTTTTGCTTGAGTTTCAATTAGAACTATCACCAAAACAACTAGATCTAACACGAGATGGAGTAGAACTAACACGATACGGTTCGTAACTGACTGTATATAAGTTAGTTCTAAGTCGTGCTGGCGAACATTATGACAATTAGAACTAACGTTGTAAGTATTTTCATGTTGAATATTTCCTTTTTTACTTTCAACTTGAGCAAATACTGATTGAATAATATGTTTCTTATGAACTCAGAAAACTTTACTTCGTTATCCTCCTTCGTATTTCAAGTAGAACCAGCTTTTTTGCTTGAGTTTCAATTAGAACTATCACCAAAACAACTAGATCTAACACGAGATGGAGTAGAACTAACACGATACGGTTCGTAACTGACTGTATATAAGTTAGTTCTAAGTCGTGCTGGCGAACATTATGACAATTAGAACTAACGTTGTAAGTATTTTCATGTTGAATATTTCCTTT